CCCCCCACACACACACACACACACACACACACACCTAGAGAAAAGAAGTTGAGGGAAAGGATGGTGTTTTAGGCGCCATAAAAGAAAGAAAGGGAAATATTTACTTTATATACATTTATATATTCAAAATGGATCACATGACTACATGTAAGCTAAAGTGAAAAGAGGTCGCTTGTAGTGACAACCCCACACATTCAGCAAAAAAAAAGTTATAAAAAACCCAGTATACACCTTCAGCACCAAACTGGAGACAGACACAGTTAGCCGGTGGACATAGTGGAGGATTTAGCTGTTTTGAGCCAGATTTGTCCCTCAGGAGTAGGGAGGAGACCAAAAACAGAGATTAATAATGGACTCCTAGTGAACAGAAACTGTAAGAAGTTGACGTACTCATCGTGACGTCACTCATTGGTTTGTGGACTGTTGTTTTCAAGCCTCGAGTTCGGCGATTTAGCCGTGGCCATCTTGGATTACGGCTGTTGCCATGTTGTTTTTTCCGCAGCCAATGAACAGAAGTTACCATATTTCGAATGCGGAGGAGTGACGTAGTGATGCCGTATACGGCTCTGGTAGCGGCAGAGACCTGTCAATCACAGTAAGCCCGCCCTAAAGCATACTCTGCTTTATGGTCTATTTGACTCTAAATGGACCATAATGTACTAAATGAACATCATGCTGTATTGAAGAAGACTTGAAACTAGAGATTGAGATCATTAACTCATGTTTACAATGTCCGAGTGACAATGATTACAATCGACAGCGGACGCTTTGGCTTGTACAGGTCTAGTGGATAACATTGAAATCTACTGCATGGTATTTAGGAACCGAGCCATCGTTAACAGAGTTGCATGTGCTTCTCTCTCTATGACGAGTCAAAATGTCTGTGGAACAAGGTCTATTGCTATTGAATTTTTCTTGTCTATATTATGATGATGATGAGGATGATGAGGATGATGATGATGACGATGAGGATGATGATGCCGCCGCCGCCGACGATGATGATGATGATGATGATGACGATGATGATGGTGATGATGATGACGACGACGACGACGATGAGGATGATGACGATGATGAGGATGACGATGAGGATGATGATGCCGCCGCCGACAACGACGATGATGATGATGACAATGATGATGATGATGACGATGATGATGGTGATGATGATGACGATGAAGGAAGCACTCATGTTTTGCAGTGCGGCAACTTGTTGCCATTGGCGATGGTGATGCTGTTTGACTTCCAGGACCGACGCTTTTTGCCGCGTGAGCGTTCAACGAAGGAAGGGGAGGAGCCTTTGCAGGAAGTCAGGGACCTGGAGGGCAGTCTGCAGAGGTGTGTGTGTGTGTGTGTGTGTGTGTGTGTGTGTGTGTGTGTGTGTGTGGGAGGAGATGGAACGTGTTTTTGCTTCTCGCGTTGAAGAGTTCTTTTTACTGTAGTTAATTCTGGATATCGCACAAACTGAAGTTAGGAGAAGTGAAAATGTGACCTGAAGTATGTTTACGATGATGGTGTGTGTGTCTGTGTGTGTTTATTACAGGTGTAAAACCAAGCTGGCAGCATCTCTTGCTCGCTGCAGAGTGAAACAGGATCTGCAGAGCATCTCCTGTTTTCTGTCTGATCCTGTCAGGACTAAACAGCACAGAGCAAAACGTCTGCCACTGTATGCATGGGTCAATACTCTCAAGACAAGGTAAACAGTAAACACGGATTACGGCCGTCGCCATGTTGTTGTTTTTTGCAACCAATGAATAGAAGTTATCATATTTGAAATCCGGAGGAGTGAAGTAGAGACGCCGTATACGGCTCTGGTAGAAACCTGTCAATCACAGTAAGCCCGCCCTAAAGCATACACCACTTTATTGTCTAATTTACTCTAATAGAACCATATATTACTAAATGAACATCATGCTGTATTGAAGAAGACTTGAAACTAGAGATTGAGACCATAAACTCATGTTTACAATGTTTACTGAGGTAATAAATCAAGAGAGAATTAGAGTCATTTTCTCATAGACTTCTATACAATCAGACTTGCTGCTTCTGAGAGAATGCAAGTTGAAGACACTTCTGCCAGGTCTAAACCAGCAAGGGTTGTTAGATCTATGGGAGCAGGTCACGTCAGTATAAAGACAAGTGTTAAACTTTAACACAGTGGCCGTTTATAAAGTGACACTGTGCATTTGTAGTGACAGGCTCTGGGGAGGGGGGGATTGCAGGATGAGGTTAATGGTGAGTGAAGTTCACCGGGGCGCATCTCAGACAGAAAGGTTCAGCATGTGTTCCTGTGGTAACACCGTTCATCAGACAACCCTGAGAACAGGAGAACCCCACTATGTCACTGCCTCAAATGAAGCGTCCAATCGAGCAGAAAACATCTCCTCTCCTCCGTAGTGTTGAGGAAGTGAGCGAAGCGCTGCGAGGCGCCGGCTTGTGTGAAGTGGAGCTGTTGACAGACCTCAGAGAGGCGACGTTCTGCAGAGACCCTCTCTGTCCGGACACACTCGTCTTCTCACGGCAGCTTCATGCTCTGCTGCGGCACAGCAGCCTCACAAGCACACATGCACTCAAAACACAGGTACTACATGGACACGCGTGTGTGGAGTGAAGTGTGTAAATATGCTTAATGATAATAGACCTTTGTAGATCATCTTAGAAGACAAGTACAAGATGACTGGTGGAGAGAGTACAAATGCTGGTTTATAAATCTACGTGAGTGAAAAGTTACCAGGAAGTGAAGTTCAAATTAGAGGTGAGCTAAGAAGTGAAAATAATATATGAAACAATGTTCTTATTTTTGCTGGCCAACCATTTGTCACAAATGGCCTGGTTTCTGGTTTCTGTACTTATGGAGCACCAAGCACATGTGTTTCTGTCTGTCCACTTCATTTAAAGCAGAATTATAGGCTTTAAAGAATATTAAAAAGTCCCCAAAATATGCTACTCACTGGTTGCCCAATTAGTTAACCAGGAGGAAATGCAATGAATCACTCCAGGGGTTGACTTATTGTTCTTCTTAGACACATGAATAGACTACAGCTTCATTTTATTGCTGAGAGACTGATTCAAAGTTTGCAGTCGGATTTCCTTTTTATGACATAAAGTTTAAAGTTGCTAATCTGTGTAACCGAAAGAAGCCGGTTTGCACTTAATCCTGATTAGCAACGTGGTGATCTGTAACACCGGAGAGGACAGTTTTGTAAAAGAAAGGGAAGGCGATCCTCCACGTGTGCGTGAACGACGCGTCCTTCCGTGTGTCTCTTTCCCCCCGCAGGACAGGAGCCTGTGCGTGGCGGTGAGCGCGTTACGCCCCCTGCTGTTCGACAAAGGCGACGTCCTGGTGGCGGGGTCCTTCTCGGCTGTGACCGTGGCTCACGTGTCTGTGGCGGCCGCCGCCCGCTCCGGCCGAGCGCTGGTGTGTGCCGCCGATCACACGCCCGCGCAGCTAGAGGAGATGCAAGAACTGCTCGCACAAATGGACATCAAAAGTGAGCGATGAAAGCACCTTAGAGAGAGAAAAGTATAGGCCTGTTATGCAAGTGGAATGGACATTGTTGTGAGCCAGGGGCGACGTTAGGCCTATTTAGGGCGTTTAGGCTGAAGCCCCCCTAAAATGTTCTTCAGCCCCCCCAAATAATTTGTCATTATTGGCTTTGAAAAAAAAAAAAAAAAAAAAAGTTTTTTTTTTGGTGATGTCATTAAATTAAACTATTGTTTCTCACATGGACAAGTTATTTATAACTCTAACATGCTACATCTGTGCGTGCGTTCTGGTTTGTATGTTTTCTCCCCCTTCAAATTACAATCCAATAGCCTATCATCATACTTAACGATATAAAGTTGACACTGTCAGGTCCATTCTCCATCCATTGTGTACGGTCCCTTTAAGAATTAGGATTTGGGAGTGACGCGGATATGAAAGCTAGTTTATCCGTCTTTCCTTTACAAGCAGGAAAATTATTTCTCTCTTTATTTGAGAAAAGTTCATATTTGTGTTGTCAAATTTCACTATGACCCTGAAATTCTGTCTCTTGTGTTATCATATACTGAATACAGAGCAAAATCACACTCTTTCTGATTGAACCAATCTATGAACTGTCTGAAACAATGGATATCCAAAAAAAATGCTAAGCCCCCCTTTCTTTGAATCCTAGAAACGCCCCTGTTGTGAGCCTTTATGGAATATTTTCTTTTCAATTTCCATTTCTGATTTCCTGATGCAAATTCATGCCCAATGTAGACGTGTGAGTCCTGTCAGAAGCCTTCTGCGGTCTGGACGAGTGGCACGCCGCCGTCCAGCGCTTAGAGGTCATCGTAGTGCTGCCCCAGTGCTCGTCCTCCGCGCTCAATGACCCCGTGCCCACCATCCACAGCGAACACGGAGGTATACGTACAAATCAACCGGTAGAAACTGAGATGTATACGGATACTGACAGAGGCAGTGTCTTTCCATTTAATTTCCCATATATGACACAAATGCTGAGTAAATTTCATCCTGTTGTCAGACTGGGATCTACTGCCAGACTTGTGTCACAATTCTGTGTCCAGGAGCAAAATACACAAAATGGCCGACCAGCAGGCACGACTACTGGCACACGCTCTGTCCTGTGAGTACATATTAAAAGGGGGGTGACCACACACAGCACGCAACATATACGCACCACTACAACACTGTACTATCTTCTCTGTCAGTCCCAAAGGTCCAGACGTTGGTCTACTGCACGCGCTCAGTGTATCCCGAGGAAAATGAACAGCTGGTGAAAAGAGTGATAGAGAAAGCACGCACTCACCCCAAACTGATGCCCTTCAGGTAAACACGCACACACACAAACCTGCTCTCTCTCTTTGTTTAGGTATTAGTTATCTGTCTATTAAGTATTTAATTATGTTATTTTCATTACTTGCACACAGGCTGAAACCACAAATGTAATAAGAGAAAACATAAAACAATAAGTGCTGTTAGAAAAAGTAGATCTAGGTACATTTAAAGGAAGCACCAAGCTGAAGGCATTTACACACTTTTCCCTCCACTACCTGACCAGAGAGCGAAAGGTGATTGGCAAAGTGAAGCTCACCTGCTTTAGCATCAAATTCACTTTGAATCCGACTGTGCTCTGACTGTCCCTGAGATACTGTCAGATCCTTGAATTCATGCTTAACCATCAAGATCATTACTTTCACTGATCCAGCAAGATGTTCACTTGTAAAACCCACCTGCATGTCTTTAATCCAAACAAACCAAAGAGGGTCTGTGACGCTGTGATGAATGCTAACATCAGCAAGCTAACATGCTCACAATGGCAATGCTAACATGCTGATGTCTGGTATAAGGTTTATAGCTAGTTTAAAGTTTTTATGTTCACAATGTTCGCATAGTGTGTTATCATGCTAGCATTTGCTAATTAGCACGAAACACGCTATGCTAACATGCCGATCATAGACTGTATATAAGAAGTGGAAGTAGTCATCGTGGCGTTACCCACTGGTTTTTGGTCTACCATTTTGAAGCCTTGAGTTCGTCGAAATGGCCATCGCCATCTTGGGTTTTTGCAACCAGTGAATGGAAGTGACCATATTTGGAATGAGGAGTGGCGTAGAAACGCTGTATACGGCTCTAGTAGCAGCAGAGACCTGTCAATCACAGTGAGCCCGCCCTAAAGCATACCCTGCTTTATGGTCTATTTGACTTTAAAAGGGACCATCATTTACTAATTGAACATCATGCTGTATTGCATATCTAACTGCAGAACCCACTTATTGAACAGATTATTTATATTGCACGTGAATGAATAAATGAACGAGGAATTGTTTTTGGTATGTGTGGTCTACTGGGAGCAGTGTTGGTTGTTGGAGTGAGGAGCTTCATCTCTGAGAATTACACACAGCAGGAGAGAGAGTGAGTAGATAATGTCTGACTAGTGTAAATATGACAGCATATCTCACATCTCCACTTTATATACCGTATGTACGTGTGTGTGTGTGTGTGTGAGTGTGAGAGAGGTTACAGGCACCAGGCCTGACAACAAGTATAAAGGATCAGCTGCGGTTGCCGTGGGGACAGTGGTTAATCCTAGAGTCGAGGTGATGGGGTGGAGAGTCTGTTTCACGCCTGCTGCTCCACACAACTCATTTCTCACCATCAATCCAAATGTCATTACATTTGGTCACATAAGCTCTTTTATCAGCTCACCAGTGCGCAGTGAGACGACCAGCAGCCGCTTCACCTCCGTGTTTACAGCACTAAAGAAGTCCTGTTGGCACTTCTTGAATAAGGATCTTTCAAAGAAGAGGATAGGGAGGACCTAGCAGTAAAACAAACATTATGTCTGCCTCTGTTGTTTTTATGCATATTGATATGTGTCATTGCCTTTATTTTCTGATATATTTCAAGTTAAATGCAGTATTGAAGTATAGTGGGAGGCCTAACAAACAAGACCACTTGAGGTATCGATACAGCTCATATCCATGGATTTATAAAGGGTTTCTTCTGACTTTTAAGTTTTGTAAGTTTAACAGATTTGAGTTTGTTTTGTGTATTTTTTTTTGTGTATACTTATTAGTTATTATTATTATTTTATTGTTATTATTATTAGTTTACTGTAAGCCTCTGTTATGCCAGAAATGTATCATAAAGCTCTCGAAAGATGTATACAACCTGGAGAAAACTATTCATTTTAAAGAGCAACTTTTACAGGTGGCCACAATATTCCCACCTTGATGCAGTAGAAGTGTATGCCAGGGTTTCTCGGTACACCGTGACATCACTGTTGGGTGTGGTTACAGACTGGAAGCTGTCACCAGAGAGGGCAGGGCAATGCTGCTCCAGACTGTTGTTACATTAATCTATTATAAAGAAATGTAATAAACTTCACTGTGCCTGTTTATTCAAACAATAAAAGTTCAAGCCCACAAAATTCATAGAGAATAATGTTCTGGGACTCAATTTATTAAATACTTTCATTTTTGTTTCCATCCAGCTGCTGAAGAATGGAAGTGAGAGCTAATTTACGCTCTCTCGGTTATCTTGCTTCCAAAAATGGCTTTGCATTGAGAATTCTTCATGTGAATGAAGGTCACATCAGCACGTCATCTCCATATTTAAACAGCGTTGGGTCCTCTGAGAATTGTTCACCAGCGTTTACCAATGTTGAGGACGCCAGATGTAGTTCCAATACGCAGGAACCGGCGGTGACAGCTGGCAGTGACATGCCTGTCCTGAGGATCCACTTACATCTGGAACTGCTGTCCAAATACTGTTACGAATGTGTCGTGCCCACTGTGTCAACAGTTGATTTGTAGCTTTTTCAAGAATTGTACATACATTTTTTTGTATTTGGTTGTCAACATAATTTATGGAACCTTTGTATAATTCCCTGAAACCGCCGATTCTTGTGTGCAACACTCCCATTCCTGTAAGCAATATGTCTCTGAATTAATGTGGCAGTGATGGATTCAAGTTGAAAATGCTACATTTTTTCTCTCAGGATGAACGGCCCCATTTTCCCAGACGACTCCCAGTCAGGGGACACGGCGGACTCCGAGTTCTTCCGGCTCGAAGCATCTCAGTTCACCAACGGATGCTTCGTCGCGCGGCTGTCCCGACAGGTGAGAGAGGGGGTGGGAGAAAAAAAAAAGTGAGGACATGTGGAGGGCAAGGTTTGGAGGTTTGAAGCGGGAACAGAGTTTTTGTGATGCGTGTGTGTGTGTGTGTGTGTGTGTCTGCGCCCGTGTGTGTGTGTGATGCGTGCGATTGCTTTGCGACGAGACCTTGCAGTAGTGCTGAGGCCGCACTCTTTTACTGTCCGTCTGCTGGGAGGTCGGGCGGCTCTGCTTGTCTGCGCACACACACACTCTCTCACACACACACACACACACACACACACATTGACTATCTCTCCCTGAAACACTGCAGCTCTATTCCAACACCCCATAAAAAAATAGAGACAAGTTAAAGATGAAATGCATCCGAGCTGCTGAAACATTTCAGCGCTTCACAGTGAAGATGAATGGATAATTCTTATCTGTATCGTTCTTGCAGCCCTCTGGTCTTGTTGCATCACCTCGTTGCTCTGTCTATTTGCCCCCCCCCCCCTTTTTATCCTCTCGCTCCACTCATAAAACGTACATCCAGGAGGAAATGAGATGCTGCTCCTTTGATCCCCTGCAGCTAAAAAAAATGGTGCAGGGAGGGAACTGTATGTGTGAGCGTGTTTCTTTTTTTTCCAATACTAACACACGCACACACACACACACACACACAGGGGGGGGCTCACCTGTCCGGTGGCAGTGCAGTCATTTAAAATCGAATGATCACCACGTCAAAGTAAATCGACATCAGAGTGTTTCACACCGCTGCTCAGACGAACAACTCCACGCCAGTCGAACTGTGCTAGAGGTCGATTTAAAGGGATCTGAAATAGACGACAGGGCACCATAGAGAGGCAGGGGGGGTAAGGCAACTATCTCTCTTTTAAAAATCAAAGGGAGACAACAGATAACAGATGTGTCCAAGAATCTCGGGAAAACAAGACAAACCTGACAGCTGTGCTTTAGTGCACATTAGCAAACATTAGCATGCTGCTAACACGCCAAAGTAAGACGGTGAACATGATAAAGGTTCTACTTGCTAAACATCATCATGTTAGCATACCGACAATAAAGTTAGCATTTAGCTCAAAGATAAGTGGCTTGTGACTGTAACTATCAACACGTGTCAACTTCCGCTCCTTACATGCATACGGTCTTTAAAATAAACTTCCGTCCTCGAACGAAACAACTCAGTTAAGTTTAGGCAACAAAATGACTTAGTTAGGTTTAGTAGAGTTTGTTGTTTGGGTTAAAATAATGACGGAGTGCCGTTACTAAAGTATGCAAGTTACGTGACAACTAAATCAACATTAACTTCATGTTTCACACAGGGAACGTCTTTATAGTTTATTCATAATTTCGTGGAGAACATGATTTTGTGTGATATCTATGAATTGCGGCACATTATTTTTCGCATGTATAGCTGCGAATGCTGGATGAGACCAGCCTGAACTATCATGTTGTCTTTCAAATCATCCCCCACACTCTGCTCTCCTCTCCCTCCTCTGCAGGTTAACTTTATGGCTCATTTCTTCAGCATGCTGTTTTGCTGTATAGATCTCCTCGGTGCTATGTAGCCCCAGAGACCCGTAGTTTTAGTGTGTTGCATCCTCGCATCAAATCTTAAGCTGCCCTCGCTTTTGCAGGCGGATCCCACCAAGGTAGAGACGGTCCACGATGTTCTGGCGAGGGCGGCAGCAAAGGGCCTCCTGGGTGGAATAATTCCTGAACAATCAAAAACCGGTAAAAGGGGAAAAAGCAGGAAGAATCTCGTTCCGTCGGCCGGCAGCAAACCCTCATCCCCCTCGAGCCAAGAAAGGCAGAGGGGAAGCGAGGTTGTGAATGGAGAAGATCTGGTCGAAGCTTCAGAGCATGAAGAAGAGAGAGGTGAATGTGGAGAGGAGGGAGAGGAGGAAGATAAGGGAGAAAAGGGTGGAAAGAAGAGGCCAGGGCTGAAAGGATGTAAGCGAAAGGTCAAGGGGCAAACCAACAAGACAACCGAAGTCTCAAAGCAAAACCCTAAAAGCCGCAAGAAGAAATCAACAAAGACTAAAGTCAACCAATCACCTCACAAGAAGCAGCTTACAAGAAGTAAACCCAGAAGAATACCTCGTCTTACGCTGACGTTAATGTCCGCCGCAAAACCCTCCAACCACTTGTCTCCAATCACGGCCCTCGCGCACAAGCTAAGTAACAGTCCAACGGTTAAATCACAGCAGACTGACTTTAGCACCCCGTCCTCTGCCCGTCCCGCTCCAGCCGCTCCCCACGCAGCCTCCAAGCAGGTGCAGGGGCCCAGCACAGAGCTCGAAAGAGCAGAGAGAACGTTGAAGGACGCAGCTAGACCAGAGATCCCGCTCAAGGCCAGAGGAAAGGTGGCCAGACCTAGGAAAGAGGATGTGTTGAAGCAGGCAGATGTTGTCCTGCCACCCATTTCCTCCCCCTCCTCCGGCTCCAAGCAAACAATACTTGATATCGACTCTTTCTCATCTGGCTGACTTTCCTACAATCTATTAAAATGTCCTCAGGTTGTTTTTATGAACTGTTAAAGACTTTAAAGAATGAATAAATGCTACATCGTGTAAATACGTGGCAATGTGATAATAACAAAAAAGTACTTTTTTAATGAAGTGTTAAATGTCTTCATGTCCTGCTGCCACTGCTGACTTGTCTTCATGTAAATTTACTGTTCAGTTCTGAGGTAGGCTGCTATACTTTTCATTTTCTGCTACTTTATACTTCTACTCCACTAGATCTCAGAGGGAAATGTTGTACTTTTTACTTCACCACATTTATTTTGAAGATGTATTCACTTTGAAGATTCTGATAATGAATACATTATTATGTATTAGTATAGATTAATCTACCAGCAGTATATCAAGTAGTTGAAATTAGCTTCAACATTAAATTGATGAACATATGAATCAGCATTTATAATATAGTCATTTTATTTTTTACATTATTTTGAAATGGGCCACTCTGCATAATGAAGACTATTACTTTTAGTATTTTAAGTATATTTTGATCATAACAGTTCTGTACCGTTACTTTTACTTTTCTGAAGACTTCATAGTTCATATTCACTTCAAGTACATTAACTCAAGTAGTGAACCATATTCACGTGAATGCAGTGAGAAACAAAACTGCGAGACACCAGCTATCCCGAAGGAAACTTCGGAGGGAACCTGCTGGTTTGATTAGTCTTTCGCCCCGATACCCAGATCGGACTACTGCGGGCCGATCCCCGCCTATATTTTCTCAGTTAAATATTGTTGTAAATTGAATCCCTCGACCATTTTTAACATTTAGGAACTGTTTGTAAATTATTAGGGTGGAGGATGGGCGCTGAAAATAGAGGAAGAGACCCATGTCTCTGATGTGTGTGTGTTGTCCTCCATGCTAGCATTTTGCCTGTGAGTTTTAATGTGATCACTATAAAAAGGTGCGTTATCTCTCTCACTCTTGTGTGTTTCTCTCTCTGTCAGCCACACCCTGCCGTTGCTCTCGTTGGTCTAAACAGCATCACACTAATCCTGGTGGGCGGTTTACTCTGCTGTGCTGAAACACAAGCTCCATCTACTCATACTGTATGTATTTAACCTTGGCATAGACAAGTGCTCTCAGATTTAGGCATCGTAGAAATTCATGAAAAAATGAAATATTCATCCACATTTATTAGTGAACTTACAAAGAGGAAACTGGACACAGACCACTGTTGAATGCAGGGCTCCTTTACTCATTTTGGTATTCCCATTTCCTCGTCTTCCACACATGTTTTCTTTTTAACGTTTCTGTTTTTCATCAGAAGTGATTGTTTAAGGGTTAAACCAAATGAGACAGTGTGGAAAAATGATTCTTAGTCACAGGAAATGGGATGTTTTCTTCAGGAAAATACTTTTTTATAAACACCGGTCATGTTGTATTGAGTTTGCCTTGAACAAGCAAATTGCTCAAGAATTCATGGAGGGTCATGTATGGATGCACTATAAACATACTTATGATCTGCTTATGGCCCTGTATAATTATAGGTAAAAGCGCACATAATTATTCATAATTCTTTATAACGATAATCATAACACATTATAAAGCATTTTAAAATGTGTTATAAGCAGTGTGAGAAATACTTGGTGGCAATCGCGAGGTTATGTGCTCATAAGAGTTATAACTAATGATACCGTACAATAAGCAAATTATGATTATTTTAGACATATGGACGTCATAAAAAGTGTTAAGCTTTATTTTTCCGGCAAAGTCATTTATTGTTTCAAATGTTTCAATGATATACTTCCCCTGCAATCTGCACAATATCCAGTGAGCAGTGTATTTGTTCTCTTTTTGCTGAAGGGAGGGTATCCTATATTAAATCATAATTGTATTTCACACCTCCCCATGAGGATTTATTATATCATATTAAAAGTTAAATAGGAGAATGTTATCTTTAATTCGTTGCACTTTGCGCTACCAATGGCAACATTATCATGAGTATGATAATAGTTCACTGGTATGTGATAGTATTTTGAAATACTGGGGGGAGGATTTTACAATATTTGTCAAGGGGAGTGTCCATCGAAAATAATTAATTTTAGCCCCCCTTCCCACCCCAATCATTTTACTACAGTCCCTTATTAAGACACAATAGGCAAGTTAAAGAAGTCTTCTTGGTCTTGTATAGGCATTGACATTTTATATATTAAACCAAGAACTCCAAACCTGTGGATCAGGAGCAAGAAAAATCTGAGCCGTCACAAGATGTCTGAAATGATAAGGAAAGAAATATAATAATTCTGCTATGTTTTTTATTTTCTTCTCATTCTCCCACATTTGTTCCTGAAATGATGCGTTCGGTCATCTTCTCAGACCTCTAAAACTTTATCAAAAAGAACAATCTGAGTAGGCGGTAACCTTTATCAATCATCTGTAATGAATACAACAATGAGCTGCAGCGTTGATACACAGACACAGTGTTCGGTTTTATAATGCTGTTTATTCTCACAATTGATTACATTGACAAAGTGTACAAATCGGTGAGCAGCAAACAGAAGCCGACACATCCATCTGTGGGAAAGGTGTGCGTTTGTTGTCGTTTATGTGAGTGAGCTTGACAGAGACGCCGGGAGTCCACTATTATTACCACCATCATCATCCTCCACCTCTTCCTCTTGACTCCTGTCAAACTGTTGAGACCAACAGTGGACCCCCGGCTCTCAGTACACTGTACAAGGTGAAGATATATTCCTTTATTTGCCTTTTTTTTTTTCCTGCAAAGCGGAGCTTGTTGGAGCATTGTGAGTAAACCGGGGATCGAGACAATGACACCGAGTCAAGAGACTTTACTTGCCCCAACTAATAAAATCAGTATATACCTTTATAAAATAGAATAAATAAAATAAAAAATATTTCTGTTCAGTACATACAGTCGTTCCTTCCACCGTCCGGGCATGCGAGGCTTTTCACGACTTTCCATTTTCTCGAGATCAAAATAATGCATAGATAATTGCTCAGTTAAATTCACCATAAAACGGAATTGACAACTGTGGAAATGTCCAATCACCTTTCCTTGTTTCATTATTCGCTCTGGCATTTTTTTTCTTATCTACAACAATGTATATCACTATTTAACACTTTGGCCATTTGGTGAGTTCTCAAAGAAGAAGGCATTTCATTACAAGGAAATAACTACAGACATTAAAAAGGAAAAGATAGCTTATAACAATGATTAATGCCAAATGTTATATTAAATTTGAAGTTATGTACACGCACATTTTGTCATCTCATTCACATTTCAACGTCCTCGTGACAAAAGAAGGTGATGCGGCTGAATTTTCTCACTAGAATCTCAATTACACTCCTGGTTCCCTCCACTAGCGGTGAACTGGTTCAACAGCTCGGCACAAGACGCGGAGGCAACGAGGCTCTGCAGTAAACATGGCCGCTCGCTGAGCCTCCTTTAGATACCACTTGAGGGCTGCATACACCACGTCATGCTAAAAGACTCAGGCTAAAGCTACATTTAGCAGCAAAAACACTTCTCAGCAGTTGATGATCCGTTTAGACATGGAAATATAGAAACTGTGTTCTTGTGTTGCAGCGTACAGCCAGTTAGTCCGAGTATTAGTACGTTTAGTGTTATTTCATTTTAACATAGCCCTGTTTGGCTGCTTAGCTTACATACTTGGGACATCCGGGACAGAGGTTCAGGCTTTCAGGAAGCTGGACTAACCGTGTGTTTGGTGCTCTTTGCTGGGTGTAGACTTCCTCAAATCCAGTAAAGAGCAGAACAGAGATGCTCACATCAACTCTGATAAAGGTTATGCTTTTTCTCTTACGTAACCTGTAAACCCATAAAATATAGTTAACTGGCTACAGTAAGCTATTTAGCCTGACATGCTAACAATTGCAGCTTACATTATAGCTTTTTCCCCTCACACGCTGCTTCACCACGTGGAGCAGCCCTAAAGCTTGACAGACTGGAGACGCACACCTTGCTCCCTCAACAGTCGCTGTTCGGTTCAGAGGTTTTAGCTAACGAACAGTTGTACTAGCTAGGTAGTCATCTTCTGCCTTACATCCAGAGTTAAAAAATATGTTTCTGATGTTTCTGAGTAATAAACGTCATAGACTTCATTAGTTATTACCGTACATCCAAGCTTGTCAGATATGCGATAATGAGGAGCTAGCAGTGTTGAATTGAGATGTGTGAGAGGAAAAACTACAGAAAACAGACCAAAGGTGATCTAGTGGCACTGATGATAACAGTGGTGCAGTAAGGAGGCAATGAAAAACAACAACAACTGAGAATTCAAGTGAACAGAACCCTGGACACACATAGATAACAGCCCGGGAGAGTCCTGTTGGTTTGAGTCAACACGTCTCTCTGTTTGGCTGTCCTCTCCAAAAAAAACAGCCGAATCCGGAGGTGAAACCCGTCTGTTCTCCTTCTCACCTCCGCAGGTACAAAAACACATTCCTCCATTTGTCTTCTACGAATGATTCCTCCAGCCTTTCTCCTGTTTTTATAAGTGGACATGAAGTCTCTGAGGACTGATGCAGAGGTGGGATTTAAAGGAATAGTCGGTTCATCCCTATCTCCTTCTCCATTATGGCTATCGTCTGTCGTTTTCCCGAAGGCTTAACGAAAGAACAAAAAACAACAAGCAAACAGGAAGTGTATGAGGGATGTTTCGGGTGAAAGGTCACCGCTCGTTTAGACCCTCCACGCCGACGTTCTCACCCTCCTGTAAGCAGCAGCAGTGTATCGATATTGTCTAGAATGGTTCACTTTGATACAAAAAGTTCATGCAGGATCAGGTTAGTGTGTGTAGACTGATGACCCAATATTTTTAGTCAGAAGCAGCTTCCTTCTTTCACTCATTACGCGCCGATTTGAAAATCAGACGCGATGGCTTTCACGATTCTGTCCTTCCATTTCACTTGACGTTACGGTCCACAGGGGACAATGAGAAAGGGGGGGGGGGGCACTACAGACTAACAGGACAACCAGGTGAGTGACATGGGGGGGTGTGGCCAGGTGTGCAAGGTCATGCTGGCAGCACAGACACAAATACAATTAGAGCACGGAGAGATCAGCAGTTTGGGCAGCAATGAGCTCGCGCTGTGCCGGAAGGAGCACTTCCTACTTCCTCTTCAGGTTTTGCTCTCTTCTCCTCACTCCTTCTCTGTGCTGAGGGGGGATGAGAGTCACTTCTATGTACACGATCACCACATCGGGTGTTTCTCTGTGGTGGTTCCTTCTCGATGTGGGATTAGAGTCTTTATGTATGTCATATTTTGCGGAAACAAATTTGAATTCCGCCCCAAGAGCCGATAAACTCTTGAGGCCAAATTCCAATTTTAGTTCAGAGAAGCGAACTAAAATGTGTTTCCCCAAAACCCCTGGGGATTCGCTGTGTTTCCAAGGTTACTGGGGTCTGCGGTGACGACGGGTTTTTTTGGAGGCGATGCGACTAGTTACTATGGCGACTGGGGGTTGCGGCGGGGGTCGGTTGCGCGGGTTACTGCGGCAACTCGGTGACGGGTCTCTTCTGTTTGAGGGTGTCGATGAGGGACAGGACGCCTCTCTTCACGCTGGTCGATACCCGACGGGACACCGAGTCACCGGGGGGCAACGAGCCGCAGGCCTTCTGGGAAGGGGGTCGAGCCACCAAACACTTCTGATACCGCAGCTGAGAGAGAGAGAGAGAGAGGGAGACGTATTGTAAATAAAAGAGTTACAAGCTGCTGAGTGTTCGACTGTGGATGTGTCTGTGGGAGAGACTGGTGCAGGCTGCTAGCTGTGATCAATAGTAATGACTGGTGATTCCTGTCACCGTGAATCAGTTTTAGTGTGTGGGTGGTGTGTGTGTGTGTGTGTGTGTGTGTGTGTGTGTGTGCGTCCATATATCCATAGTCGTGATGTGTGATCAATAGCCCAGCCAGCAGTCGACTAATCTTGTGACTCACCCACAGCAGAGAGGGCAGAGGGAGAAGAGTTATCTCCACTAATGGGTTGCATTACAGCAGAAACACCGCATTCTGGGTTGTGATTATGGACGTTATAATGATAAATTAAAAAATACTGTGAAAGGTTTTTCACAGTTTGTTACATTAAATCAATGTACATGTTTCCTCTTTAAAACGTCTCCTGTAAAGCAGTAAACAATGTGTAGCATAATCCAAATCTATACTAGAAAACTTTCCTCTTTCAGAGACGACTGATGCTGATTTCAGACTATATTTTAACTTCGGGCGGCTTGAATGCATGTTTTACGCCAACAGTGTTTTGACAGAGGGCCCCATTACAACCTGAATAGAGCATATGGATCGGACAGTGACACAACCATCTGTCAAGGCTGAATAACCCAGCTCTAACACGAGCAAGAGAGGCTCAAAATGCCGTCCCGAAATACAGCCTCACTCCAAGTGACTCACCATACAAGCCGCCTGCACAGCCTCCGACACATGCCCTGCGTTGGGCTCACACCAGAAGATGTGACAGTCGAAGCGATGGCCGCCGGCATCCATGACGAAGGCGAACGTGTGCACGTTCCGCCCGACGCCCATGAAAGATAAGAATCGAACGCGACACTCCACCAGCACTTCCTCTCCGGCCTGGTCAGAAACATACCAGTAGGTGATTAATCAGAGAGTCATAGACATGCAGATTGTGATTTTACTGGAGAGGCAGCATAAAAACACATTATGAAGGGAATTTACAACCTTTGTTCTGCACTCAGAGGCATGCATATAGTTCCACATGTTCATACAGGGGAGCCACCCAGTAAAACTTTAGCCTTCTAATAAAGAGGTCCACTGGAGCAGATGGGCTTTATGTGCCTTGATGTTAGAGCTAAATTATTTAAATTTCAAAAAGGCATTTTATGTCATCTGCACGGTCGAACACTGTTAAAACTTCACATTTGTCCCATTGCTCTGGGTGGCTGCTGGCTGCCTTTCATGGTTGACAATGTCAGTAAGGTCTGACAATGAAAAGCCAGAGTGACGCGCCTTCCACCATTTTCTGTTGTTTTACATGTTAGAATCAACAGTGAAGTGCGAGCAGCGGACACACTTTAAAAGTGTGGTGACTGCTGAAGGAAATAAATGGCAGACTCAGCGATATGTTCTGCACAAGACATAACAAAGCGGTAGGTAGCTGAAGTAAATCGCTCAAAGATGACCAACATTCATGAGTTTAGTCTGTAGGAAGTAACAGTAGGTTCTCTAAACAGACAACCGAACCAACAGGCGTTTGGATGCTCCGCCATCTTCTGTCCCACTGCCATAGAGTGCAAGAATGTATAGAAACTTGGTGGTTGTTTTCCTATAATGCCTCTCCCACATTTTGTCCAGAAGGCAACCCCTGGTTCCAAAAAGTGAAGCCAATGTGGAGGTGCTCAAACTTGCATTCTCTCTACTGGCCATCAGGGGGCGACTCCTCTGATTGTATAGAAGTCTATGAGAAAATGTCTCTACTTCTCACTTGATTTATTACCTCAGTAAACATTGTAAACACGTGTTTATGGTCTCAATCTCTAGTTTCAAGTCTTCTTCAATACAGCATGATGTTCATTTAGTAACTTATGGTCCATTTAGAGTCAAATAGACCATAAAGCGGGGTGCTTACTTTGTGAGTGACCGGGTGCTACCAGAGCTGTATACAGCGTCTGTACGTCACTATAGATATGGTCACTTCTGTTCACTGGTTACAAAAATCCAAGATGGCAACGGCCAAAATGCTGAAGTCGAGGCTTTAAAACGGCAGTCCATAAACCAATGGGTGACGTCACCATGGACTACGTTCACTTCTTCTAAACAGCCTACGGTTCTTTCTTGTGTATGAAGTTTGATTTATCATATTTTATCTTGTCCATACAGAAAACTGAGAAGAACAGAGTGAAGAAAACCAGTGAAAGTCGTGGGGTTGTAGTTCAGCTCCGGCAGATGTGCGTCTTACCTCGTCTTTGCTGATGGTGACAGTAGCATCTGCCACGTTGAGGGCCACAGGGGTCCAGTCCTCTCTGTTGGACGAGCCAATCAGACTGTCTATAGCTCCGTTCAGGATGTCCATTCCTGGAGCAGAGCATGTTAAAAAAAAACAAAAAACAGAAACATTAAAATCATACCTAAAGTTAGACTGCATCTCATCACAGCTCCAGGTGTGTGTGTGCGCTCGAGTGTTGGACTAACCTATTGGTCTGGCCACAGGCAGCATCCCGAGGTAGAGCACCTGAAACTTCTGAACCAACTCCGTCTTTGGTGTGGGGAACTCTGCTGGGGAGAAGCCACGCACACGTTCAAGAGGGGCATTTTCAATTCCATGTCAACAAGCAACAATGCCCACCTACAGAGGGAGTCCACACGCAGCCTGCAGAGTAGATATCTGGATACTGACCACCTTCTGGGTGGCTTCCATTGTATCTAAATGTCACGGCTTTCCTCGATGCACTGTGGAGGGTTTTAACGAAGCGGAAGGATGTGATGTGGAGTCATTCTGGTCCTCGGGTTTGTTTGGTTTAACAGATGCAGAACTACCGGCTCTACTATCATGACACTTGGTGGAAGTGTGTAGCATTGGTCAAGGAAGAACATATTACATTTTGGAGCGGATGATGATCACTTGGGCGTTTTCATTAACACTGCGAAAAAAGGGGCGTGGCCTCGGCAGAGGTCAGCGCTCTCAGGGTGGCCTTCTAGTCACTGGATGTTTCCAGTTTATAATAGAAGCCTGCTTTGGATTAGCTGCACCTCCAGTTCGTCGGTGTTGGAAAAAGTTCTTTCTGAGTTCATTTCAAGCAGAGGCACCGCAGCAGCATGATTTGACGAGCTGTCAGCGACAGGCCGGACGGTCAGCCTGCCTGCGTCCCATCCGATCACGAGCGTATATATACTGTAAAGGACACGGTGCGGCACAGCCAATCATTCTTCTCCCCAGCGACGGGAGAGAAAATGGTGAGCGATGATAGAAAAGACACGTTGTCATTATTTTAGGACTGAAATTGAGAACCAGTCTCGCTCCAAAGAAATGCAGCATGAGTCTGCGTTTTAGCCGACTAAGAAATCTTGTTTTACTGTCACCAACATCTCCTGGCAGGCTACCTCTCCCATCTGTCTGACTAATAAAAACTTGAGGAGCTCCCTCCACATCGCTGTAAAGTTGAGATAATTGAACACTGTCACATGCTGGTGCACTGGACCCCTAAATCTGTTAACGGCCAACAACTGTTCCATGTAGCGTGTGGAGTTTGTTGACCACTGGCAGAGCTAGAGCGATGTTTTTTACGAGTGGGTCAGCGTTATATTTCACGCCGTCCTACTGATCGATAGCTGGCAGTGATAACGCACAGAGAGGAGGAGCAGTGAGCCGAAGCAGAGAAACAAGAAGACCGCATGCCAGTAAATATGGATGTATATAATGCAGTGTTTAAAAACTGTACTAATATCTGCAAGTATTTTATGAGGAATGAATTGCATTTGTCAGGCTTCAAGGACACTAAGATCATATGTGATTAACAGATAATTGCATAATGAACCCGCTCACTGCGGCACACATGAAACCTTTACGACGTGAGATATAAATCCCCCCCTTCCCTCTCACATCCTCCCAAGCTAGCTAGCCCGACCACATCAAGACAGGATGGGAGTGGCAAAGTAGTAAAGCCTGCCCTCTTGCTTGATTTGATTGGCTGCCTGGGCCAAGTGTGACATTGACGAGTGGTCCATATGAGAATACTTCAAACGTTTATGCGCATCTAAACACCGTCAGGCACCATAGGAAAACAATGGTTTTGCGAGGGACACAGTTTTAGCGCCGTGTTTACATAACAGTGTGTTTTGGTGAGTAACACCGAATGTCAACTTTGTTTGTTTACAAGAAAACTTCACACTTTAATCTTTAATTCACTCGCAGTGATGGTTGGATGTCTTTGAGAAAACATCTTTGAAAAAATATTAAAATGTAATTATTCATGAATCAACTTTGCTTGTGTTCAGAACTCTTCGTGACATTGCGCAGCATTAGCAGAGGACATTGCGGTGGTATTTGAGACTTTCTGCTCTTACAAATAGCCAGTTTAAATGCATGCAGTGTGCCCAAGAAGTGACGACTGTCTATTGATGCAAGTCAGTTGTCACAATCCCTATCTCTCTCTCACACACACACAGACACACACACACACACACACACACACGCTGAGAGTATGTGTGAGGCCTACCTTGTAAAGGGAGATCTAGTCCGGCCTGCATCCTGTCATGGAGAGAGCCCGCCATCGCTTTGGCATTCTTTCGCTCTGTCATTATCTGGATGGAGAGACGGGCAGATACAGAAGTGTGAGGAAACGGTGTGTAACAACGGACGCACAATCAGAATACCGTGGCAGAGACACGGGGGAGGAGGTTGAGGAGATGAGGAGAAACATATGTGACAGTGAAAGGGGATGAAAAAAATTAAAAAAGATGAAAGAGCTCAGGAAAAACCTCGAGCAGTTTCACCCCTGATACTGTCATGTTGTCTACTCATTCCAACTGGGGAGCACGTGCACACGTGCACACACACACACACACACTCTCACACACACACACACACACACACACACACACACACACACACACACAC